TATTCTTTAATAAATAGAAGCTTAAATATTTGGAAATTGGGGCTGGAATGATGGCTCAGCAGTTAAGAGCACTGGCTGCTTTTGCAGAGGACACCAGGTTCAAATTCCAGCACCCACATGCTAGCTAACAACCATCCATAATTCCAGTTCCAGGGGATCTGATGCCCTCTTCTGACCTCCACAGACATTGAAGAACACAGGTGCACTTTCATACATGCAGGCTGAACACTCATACACATAATATTTTAAATAAATAAAACATTTTTTAAATTGGAAATTATAGAGCATTCTTCTAAGTTATCCTTTAAATCAAAGAGAAATCAAGACTGTCACTGAGGAATATTTAGAAATAGATTTCCTTGTGAACACTGTATAAAGTCTCAGTTTTTTAGAGTTTATTTTCTTATGTATATGTTTGTGTTTCTATGTGTGTGTATATGCATGTGTATGCAGGTGCCTGAAGAGGCCAGAAGAGGGTGTCAGATTCACTGGAGCTGGAGTTACAAGCAATTGTGAGCAACCAGATAAGTGGACTGGGAATTGAACTGGGGTCATCTGGAAGAACAGTAAGTGCTCTTAATTGCTGAGCTATCTCTCCAGCACCCAAATCTCACTTTTATCTCAAAACTCAATGCAGAAGAAAATTTGCGAACCTAAATAGTTCCAGTATCATCAGAATAAAAAAGAAATGAATAAAACTTTCACTTAAATAAGCTCAAAAAAAGGACAAGCTGTCAAATCAGTAGCAAGAAATGTGGAAGAATAAATTCAGGTAATAGAAGACTCTAGACAAGAAAGAAAAAAAAACACTTATTAAAATATGCAAAATGCACTTTCCTGGACTTGGCAAAGTGTCAAGAGCACTTGGGTTTAGCACTTGAGTTTAACACTTGGTTCTAGGGGTCAGTTCCTCCAAACTAACAGTTGTCCGTCTTGGAGGAGTTCATGCTTACGTTACCAGGGTTGTTTCTTACAGAAGCAGAAGTTGGACACACCTTCTAAAGAACTCCTTAGGTGGCTAACAGCAACAGGTAGAAAGTCTCCTATTCCCAGCTATGATACCATTCCATAACATAGAAGCTAAGAGAGTCTTTGCAGAGGTTATCTGATTGAAATAAAGTCATTACAGCTAGCCCTGAGTCAATATAACTAGTGTCCTTATAAGTACAGAAAATTTGAGAACAGGGACACACAGAAGGAAGACGGTGTAAAGATACAGGAAGAAGGTCACACAAACCCATGAAAAAACCCTTTAAGAAGCCAGTGTCTGGGCCAGCAAAATGGCTCAAAGGGTAAAGGCACTTGCTGCCAAGTCTGACAGATTTCTGAGTTTGATACTCAGGATCCACATAGTGGAAGGAGACTCCTGAAGTTTTCCTTTGACCTACACATACACACAGAAATACAGACAGGCAGACAGACAGGCACACACACACACACAACAACCAAATATAATTTTAAAAGAAGGGAGCCTCTGTGAGAGTCTTGGAGTAGACCCTTCCCTCACAGCTCTTAAAGGAATCAACTTTATGGACACTTGGATTTCAAATTTCCATAGCCAATACATTTCTGCTGCTTCGGCCACCGTTTGTGGCCTTTCTTATGACAGCTCCAGCAAATAACACATCTCCCAACATCCCCCTCCTTTCCTGCACATTTAGACCCTAACACTCATCCCCTAGTTATACTGCAGTTACTGTGAAATTACATCCTTTGACAGTGGTGCCTTCTTTTAACTCTAAGCCTTTACACAGGCTGGACCTTCTGCCCAAGATACTCTTTTTGTATTTGCCTCCTAACTCTCCTGTCATTAACACTTTGTCTGGGTGTTCTCTGGAATCTTCTGGGATTACTACTTCCCCATAAAGACTTTAACACCCTTCTGGTGGCCAATGGTGTACACTTCTCAGACTATGCATCCCTATTTATGTGTCTCTGTCTTCTAGTTAAGGCAAACTTTTGAAAGCAGGGGTTATGTATTGAAAATCTGTCCCTGTCTTTTCAGTACACATCACCCCTCAGAATAATAGATCCCCAAATTTCCCTTAGAAAATCTCACCCTCCCTTCTTCAATCCACAAGAAGTGAATGGTCTCGCTCCTTAGCTCAGGACTGAACAGAGGATCCAGGCCCTGTCAATGATGCAGTTGGCTTTTGCCAACTATAACCTTGTGCTTATACACAGAGTGCATCAACAGCCCCAGGGTAAGGGGAGAGAAATGTGAGAAAAGGCAGAACTGTGATGTAGAGAAAGATCAGTTCTCATCTGAACCAGGTTGGGGTTCCTCCCTAATCCAAAGGTCATCTATGGCATCATAGTTCCTCCATGGGGATCATGTATTCACCAATGAGAAAATGACAGTCAGAAATAAACTCAGGAGAGAAAACAAGGCCAGCCTGGTCTACATAGTGAGTTCCAGGACAACTGTGGCTACAGGGAGACCCTGTCTCAAAAAGTTCAAAAAAAACCCTACATCTTAGGGATGCTGTATGTACCTCACACGGCATCTTGATGCCAAGTTTATTCCATTTGTTATTTAGTTTGCTCACTGCTAAACTTATGAACATTGGCTTGACAAGGGTATGTGCATGTGTGTATTTCAATGGACATGGTAATGAAGCTGTGAGTCTGGTCTCAACATTCACATTGTGTTAGTGTGACCAGCAGTGAGCACAGGCAGGGTGAGATCAGGGGCTTTGAAGGTGGGCAGGTCAAAGTATGACTCTAGGCTTCCTGGTTTTGTAAGTTATGTGACCTTAGTTACTTAGCCTCTAGGGGTTTCCATTTCTTCATCTGCAAAATGGGGAACATAATGTACTTTTCAAGGCTGTTGGACGGATAAAAGGAAATTACACATCTAAAGAACATAGAACCTGCATACATTATTTGGTCAAGGAAAAAAATGCTCACATTTCGTTAAAATAAACATTTTATTTAAAAATATAAGCATTTTTTTTTAAAAAAAGAACACATGCCAACTTTGGTATTTTAGCCATTGCCGCTTTGCTCTTCCCAGTAAGCCACATTTCTTTCCTATTGTTCAGAGCAAAGCCAACCAGCATGAACACACCACCACGCAGGCCCACAGAGAACCATGCTGGCTTCTTTGTTCTTTCCAGAGCACCTCTTTGAGGTTGAGTGAGGGAGGGTTTTAAGCCCCCAGCAATCCATTGCTCTTGGTCCTCCTGACAAGGTCATTGGAACTGAGCTCTGCAAGCAGAGTAGGTCTTGTTCCTTTGGAAAACACTTCAATAGCTTCCAGGATCCCATGACTGTGTGCTCCCTTTCCCATTAATAACTCAGAGCAGCTAGAGCATCTACAAGGAACACGTCCTCCCAGTGCCCATTGTGGGAGCCAGTGGTTAGAGTGAGTACCAGGGACTTCCGGGGGTTTGCTTGCGGGAGCATCACTGAATCATAAGGGAGCTCTCATTGAATCCAAAGAGTCCTAGTACAATATCCCTTGCAGATGGCAACAAGCTCTTCCAAATCCCTCCCTGTCTTATAGTCATTTTTCTACAGATAGCCTTCCCCACATGAGGGCTTTGTGACACAACCGACCAGCTCTCAGAACTATGGGACCATCTTGTTCCAGGACCCTGACTTTCTGTGTCTGTTCATATCAGTTGTCCAGTAGAGTCTCAGCCTTTAGCTTCTCTGCTGGTTTGTAGCAGCTTTATGAGGAAGCAAAACCCTTACTCTTTTCCTACCCCAAGTATCCTCATATCTGACAGCAAACTGCTCCAGCATCTCTGGACTTCTTGCTGTGGTAAATGTAGCAAGAGCCTGTGGAGCAGCAGGGACAAGTGGCTTCTGGCTCATTGAGGCTTTTCTGTTAAGGCTCACTATAGATACTGGTCACCCACCTCTGTCCCTTTTGCATTGAGATCTTGCTATAGTGACTTGGGATAGGACAAAAAAATGTTTCTGCCACCCTGTCCTTATTTCCAAGAGCCTTCTCTGTCTGCTAGCCAAAACCACCCATAAACCTCTTAGATGTTTTAAATGGTGACAGATCTCCAAATATTGCTGTTATGTGACCATGTGGAAAAGACAAGACTGTGTGGGCGATAGCTTTTCACTAAAATGTCCCCCTGTTTTCCCTTCTGGAAAAATCAAGCCCTTTCTATGTCATAGCTAAGAGAATTCTAGTGCGAGGACTGGGAGATTCTCAGCATTTTTGTTTGGAGAAACTGTAGCGCCTCAGACATCCAACATCTGTGCTGAATCAGTGTCTGAAAGCCTTCATGCTTTGCACACGACAGGCATCAAGTAGCCATCCATAGGATGGCACACACATGATAATGGGAGTTTTCAGCTTGACTGACTCTAGAAAAGCTGAATTTATTTTTATTTTATTTAAAAATTGTTATTTCTTATTATATGTATATGCGTATATTGCCTGTGTGTATGTAAGTGCATACGTGTTGTGCAATGCCTGCAGAGGTCAGAAAAGGGTGTTGAATCCCCTGGGACTGGAGTTAGGATGGTAGTTAGCCTCTATGCGGGTGCTGGGATTTGAGGGTGCTGGGATTTGAACCCGGGTCCTCTGCAAGAACAGCCAGTGCTCTTAACTGCTGAGCCACCTTTCTAGCTCCATGAATTTAAAATAAAGAAGTTTATAATGAACTGTCTTAAAGACTTGGAGTAGATTTTATGAATTTTTTTTCCAACAAATGCTTTTGAAAGGCCTAAGACTGCCACCTCAGAGGCCTGGACTCTGCAGGTAGAGACTGCGTTGGTGTCCCCATTTACAGGTGTAATCACTGCATTGCTCAGAATGGCTTCCCTCTTACAAGTCTGTGATTCACTTCTCATAATGTGACTTCATAGCTGAACTGAGAGGTTCATAGATCAGGAAGTCGGGCCCTGGCTGTCTTTCCTCCTTGTGCGTTCCTCTCTCTCCTTTCCTACATTCATTTCTTTCTCCTTTTGCTTTCCTTCTCCTTCCTTTCCCTCATCTCTTCCCTCCCTCCCTCCCACCCTCTGTCCCTCCCTCCCTCCCTCCTCTTTCTCTCTCCCCCACTCTTTCTGTGTGTATTGTGTCTATAGCATTGTTAGGAGCAGGCACATATCCACCCAGCACTGGCTTACTGATGGTGCTTGCAGGAGCGGATTTTCTGACTCTGGATCTGGAGGGATCTTGGTTCTGTAGCCAGAGTGGGAATGACTGCCAATGTTTTCATTACTATTGGGCCTTGGGGAAGCAGTCCTTAACCAGATGGCCATCTAAGGCTCCAAAAATGCTGAGAAACCCAAGCATGGCACACTTCTTAGCTGAGCTCATGTTGTCACTACAAGAGGACACAGTTGTTTTAAAAAATGGAAATTAAAAGCCCCCAAAAGGAGACAGCTGAATGAACATGAGTGACCTGATCCATCTTCATCAATTCTCTCCCATTTGTCTCCAGTATCCTATCTGTGCTATGATGACAGGGTAAATATCATCTAGGGGGACTGTGAGAGCAGGCTGAAGTCTAGTATCCAGCGACCTGTTCTAGCTATGTTAACTTGTAGCCACAAATCAGAGCCATTTTACCTTTTGCCTACTGTGAGGTTGTATGTATCAGTCTCGGGTAATAGAAAAAATAATTCCCATAGTCTAGCTAAGGACAGAGACCTCCTTACCAGGTCTAATCCCTCCGACAGGAATTCCTAAAGGGAAAAATCATTATTACTCCTGGTCTCCGAGGCAGGATGCTGTGGGAGTTTGTTTTCCAAAGGAAACAAGGATGACTTACAAACAGTATACCTGAAGTGTGTACAGAGCAGCAAGCTTCCTCAAGACTCAGATAAAACAGAAGCATGTGAGGACTAACCATGTTTGGAATGTGGCAGTAAGGCTTCTCCCCACAGCTTCATCTTCATGCTAAGCTCTCCCTCGAGATTTTTGGTTCTGATGACAGACATACGAACAAAATTAAAACTTTACCATGAGGACCTTTTCAAGCACAATGAGATCAAGGAATGTAAGAATAATTTCCAAGCTCCCTTTACGCTCTCCTGTAAGAGATGACACTAGCCTTGGCAGCCACCAATGATGGCCCTGTCCTCTCACATCGTAGTCATTGCCAGGAGGAGCTTGTTCACGGTAAGCAAGTGGCTGTGAGTCATTGGGCTGGAACCTTTAGTCATACACAGAGAGGCAATGTGTAGTCTGGTTGATTAATCAGGGACTGTAGTGAGAAACACGAAGTATCATTCACAGCAGACTGAGGGTTCAAGGCTTTTGGTGAAAAACTCTGAACACTGCTTTGTAAGATACATGCACACACATATGTGTGTTTGTATACATATATGCATGTGTGTATATATACATATACCATACACACATGTACAGAGCTATAGGTATGTATGTGTCTGTATTTCCTTCCCTAAAATAAGATTTGGCAGCATTCAGAGTAATAGTCACCAAAAACACTCAGTGTTCAAACATGTTTATACAAGTTAACGATGGAATGACTTCTAAATCTTTGGTTCATCAGAAAGACGACTTCTAAACAAAATCACATTTTGATTATTTTTCTATAAGTGCACAGTGAACATTTTTTTTTACAAAAGAAAACAGTGCTTCAGTGACTTAAATTAAAACAAAACAAAACAGCAATAGCTACTTTCTACAGCATGCAACATTATAAAACGGTGAACTAGAGCCATAGTGAGTCTCAGAGAGACTCCTGCAATCCCGGTTGCTTTCCCTTTTCTCCAGTTCCCTGCCCAAGCAGGATATGGAGGAGCCCATCAGACCAAAGTCCTTCACCCTTCCATCATTTCAATGTGCAATTGTGCTTTCCTTTAGAAACCAGACTGAAAGACACTCTACTGTAGACGTCACCCATATATATCTTCACTATATAATGATTTCTAATTTCCCCAGAGCAACACAAATCAAAGATTGCCCAAAAGTAGAACAAGTTTTGTGACCAATGGGCCACGGCCCCAGTTTCTTTCTAAGGAAATTCCTGTGAATTCCCTTTGCAGTCAATTGTGCATCTGAAGAATGAGTTCCGCAAGGGAATGACTTTATTAAGCATAGGCTTCTCCTCTCCCAATGGTGGGGAAAAAGAGAACGGGGGGGAGGGAAGGGGGAGGGAGAGAAGAAGAGAGAGAGAGAATTAGAGATAGAGAGATCATCAAAAGAGGAGAGCCATAAAAGATTGATATCGTGCAAGAAAAATGGAGTAGGAAGAAGATAAACTGAGGATCTCCTCTGTCCATAATAAGAAAATGAAAAACCAAGATTTGAACCTGTATAGTCCTGTAATAGCAATCCATGGTGTTTCTTTCCAGGAATGTGAAAAGACCTTGTTTTCTAGTCCTAACTTGTTCAAAGAGGGCCTTCTGCATCTACAGTTACTTTTCTGATTGCTTCTCTCTAGCCTTTGGAACTAGAGGGAACTAACTATATTGGAGGACCTCAGAAATATCTGTCCGTGGTATGAAGTTTTCTCCCTTCAAGTTTCTCACCTGTTATACATCACTGATCAGCACAGAGATGGTGGGAACGATTGGGCTATGGGTTGAAAAGAAACATATTCTGAGTAGATTCTCTGGACAGAGCTAGTTATTATCAGTGATCAACAGTCCAGTGAGGCAGCTTGGAGCTGAGGGACATTGAACTGATTTTGTTTTCCTGGGAATGGATTGGTTCTGTCCCTCAATTCTGCCTTAAGGACCCTGTAAGCTAAAATAGGATCTGGTTGCTCTTTTGATAGACAGATAATGGGGACACACAAAGTTGTCTCCACTGGAATGGCTTCCAGAGCCTCTGAGGGACTGGGGCTTCCCTCTACTCCCCCCGAAAGGCTTTGTTTTTCTTCCACAGTATGCTTTGTAAATTCAGGACAAAAGCTTTTAGTGTGAACTTTCATCCCAACAATGCCTGAGAAAAGCTACGGGCTAGAAAAATGTTGATAAGAGAAAAGACAGTGAAAGAAATGTTTGGCATTCTTAATCTGAGAAAGCACATTTTTGAATGCATTACTAAAATTATCAACAGTCTCTGAGTGCTGGTAAAAATGACATGATACAAATTTGAATGACTGACTCCTGTTTGTGCTAGCCGGTTGTCACAGAAACCTCCATTGCTGGCTGTAGTTTTTCCTTTTCCATGTTTTCTTCACGTTTTGGATCACAGGAGTAGTTCCGGTTATGTGCTTTCCTCATGGACTTTGGATTGAGCTTCCTTAGCACTTGTACCTCAGGTGTTTACCACTGCTGTAAATGGAGGTCCATAGGGGAATTCAAATTGAGATCTGTGACATCCAGGAAATCAATGTTGAAGATGCTTGGGCCACTGGTGGTGAGGTTGCTGAAGCCAGGCATGGAACTAGGTGGAGTGAGGTCCAGCCATTCCATCGTTTCCCAAGGAGATTCTGTGAAGCTCAGCTGCAGCCCATTGCTGTCCACTGAAGAGGGTGACAACTGTGTGTGCATTGGGGAGAGAGGCCCGGGCAAGAGCTCATGAGTGCTGAAGAGGTCTTCTGAAGCCTTCCCTGGAAAGCCATCCATGATTCCATCAAAAGGAGGCTCCTCACTTCCGATTTTGAGTAGGGCGACATCACTCACCTTTCCTATGGGGCTGTGGGAATTCAATAAGACTTCCAGGTGTTCATCATTGTCGGTGGTGGCATAGTGATCAAAGGACAATTGGCCTCCTGAAGACGCCTGTTCAAAGGAAGCTGAGGGCTTGGGGAGGACGGTGGTAGGACTGCGGGAAGACCCCGGTATCTTTGGCACTTTTTGAAGACATGAATGATCCTCTCTGGCATCAGCCGGCATTTCTGTTGGCAAAACACAGTGTGAATTGTTAAATCACCTCTAACTGAGCATGCCACATGATATGAGTCTTTGGAATGAACGAGTTGTTCTCAGGAAAACACCAGGGATGGCCATGCCTCTCTGCAGTACTCAGCAGTCTCACCCCTAAACTGCTTTTTGTATCTCCATTTCTTCCTCTCTAAGGTCTCCCCCAAACTCTTCTGCCCTGGATCTTCCATAATGTGATCATCAAACTGTCTTCTCTGCTGACTTTGCCTCTTTTCCCGCCCACTATCCTTGGAGGACACTGCATCTTACATATTCTGTGGGGCAGCAGATAAGGGATCGGGTCTTAGCCCATTTTCATTTTTCTGATTGCCATCCCCTTCATATCACTCCTCAGTGGTTTGGGGGGTACCCTCCCTCTCTACTATAAGCCTCCTGATCATGGGTCTTAGCCCATTTTCATTTTTCTGATTGCCATCCCCTTCATATCACTTCCTCAGTGGTTTGGGGGGTACCCTCCCTCTCTACTATAAGCCTCCTGATCACGCCTTCTCATCTGCTGAAAACTAGCCCTAGTTCCTGGTCATTTTACTAGGACAGTATTTCTAATTCTCTGGGACTTTAACACCCTTAGAAATCATACACTGCCCATGCCGGACTCTCAGTTCTGTGTCCTTCCCCTCTACTCCAGTGATGCCAGCATCCTCACTCTTTTGGATACCTTGTATATTGCATCCATCTGAGAGCTCTATTTCAAGCAAGATTTCCCACTCTCTGCAACTCCCTTCTCTCCGGTCATGTATAAAGTATTCTAGGTCAATAATCTCCCAGCCATTTTGAGGCATCTGATCCACTGGCTGCACTATCTGCCACTGTATATCAGCACCTTCATGTCACTTCTTTCCTTGTCTAGCCCATAATCTCCGACCCACTGTTAGTTACTCTCTTGTAAATGCTCTCCACTTTTTTGCCCTTCTCTTCTTTCATCAACCTAGCCTAGCTAAACTCCACACCCTGATAAGGCCCCGTCTGCTTTCTCTCAGCCTGCCCTAAGTTAGCTGGAAATTAAATGAGAAAAATTACATAACTGAGCTGACTGAATTCACCAGTGTCAAACATTCACTGACATTTAATCTGCTTTACAATTTTCCTGCATTTCTCTAGAAAACTCAATTCATTCTTGATTAATTTGTGGCGTCTTTTCCTTGACTCTCCCACACTCCCCTCTGTATCTCCCCTTTCTTTTGAGACCTTGCCACACACTTCATTAAAAAGGTGGCGAACGTTCACCTTTCAACACAAAACTTGAATATATACATACACCTGCACACATCTCTTTCTTCTTTAAAAAAAATTTTTTTTAAATTTTATGTGTCTTAACATACTGCTTGCATGTATGTAAGTACACCCTTGTGGTGCAATGCCTACGAAGTCAGAAGAGGGTATAGGATCCCCTGGCACTGGAGTTATAGATGGTTGTTAGCTACAAAGTGTATGCTGGGAATTGAACCCGGGTCCTCTGCAAGAGCAGCCATTGCTCTCAAACACTGAGCCATCTCTCTAGTTCCTCTTCCTTCCTCTTATGATAGGAAATACCAGTTCCCTTCTTAACTGTCCATCTCCTTTATCAGACTGAGAATTCCAGAGAAATAAGGAGTTGTCTGTTGGAGAAGTGAGCTTAGCACGATGCCTGGCCATTCCTTCTCTGAGTCCTTTGCTGTCTCCTGTTAAACTTCAGATGCAGTTGATTAAGGGCTCAGCCCTGTGTTCTCTTTTAACCTTCACACATCCTCCTTTGGGCCTCTGATTCTTCTGTGTTTTCAAATTCTAGACTCACACTCTGTAATGTTTCTTAAACAATGAATTGGATGGGTTAAAAAGAGGCAGAAAGAAATGCTGATTGCTTTTTATTTCTAAGTTGAATAACATTTAAGCATGGATGGACCATCCAGTGGAAGATGACTAATTGAATTTCAGTTTGAGTAGAGAGCACAAAACTTTCATTATCTGCTTGTATTTTTTTTTCTTTCTGTAATTAAGAAGACAGGGATTAGGACTATAGAAAGAAATTATATAGCAAGAGAACATGTTTATGGAAACAGGAATTGGGTTGAAAAATAAACTGCAGTGTCCCCAGGCTAAAGGCAGTAAGGAATCATCCACTGTGTTTCTTTTCTTTGCTAACAAAGCATACCTGAAGCTTAGAAGAAGCGACTCTACTAGCAGATCACCTTCTGTACCTGACTCAGTGTGCTCCTGACCTTGGTCCTAGAGTATGCACAGGTACAGAGGATCCTGATGGACAATGGGCAGGCTTACCTCCACTTTCGATGAGGACATCCAGGAGTTCATCCATCTGCTGACTACGAGTCATTTGCTATGGCAAATTACCCCAAAGAGAACAGAGAGTGGTTAGAAGGCAGTTACCTCTGCAGGAAATCAGCAGAAGCAGTACTTAAGGCTTTGAACTAGGTTTGTTAAAGGATATAAGAACTCATTGAATATAGTCACATAGCATAAAATTTACAAGCTTAGTCATTTTTAATTGTACAGTTCAGTGGCATTAAGTGCATTCACATTTTTGTACAATCATTAACAGTGTGTGTCTCTAGAACTTTTTTCATCTGAATAATTAACACCGTTAACACACATTAAACAGCATCTTCAAACCTTCTCTACTCCAACACCAGCAGTCACTGCCTTCCCTTCCATGCTATCCACCTTTTCAAATCTGACTACTCCGGGTCTCATAAATAAGGGAAATCATATAGTATTTGTCCTTTTGTGACTGGCTTATTTCATTGAGCATAACATTCTCGAGGTTCATCTATATTTAGCATGATTAGAATTGCTTTTTTAAAAATCTCATTGTGCAGCCCAGACTGGCCACAAACTTGCAATCCTCCTGCCTCAGCCTCCTCCTGGGACTGCAGGTATGTGCCACCATGCCCAGCTAGAATGTCCCATTTTTTAAAAAAGACTGACTGGCTCTCCATAGTGTGAATCAACCACAGTTTGTTTCTCCATTTACCTGTTGATGGACACTTGTGCTGTTTCCACTTCTGGCTAATGTGAATAATAATATGAGCTTGGGTAGACTGGTTAAGGGGCTTTGGACTGTGTTTGATTAAATCCCACTGTGAATCTTATGTAGATAATCTACTGAACGAATCATCTAGCACAACAGATGAGAATGAGGAAGAAGGGAAATTTAGTTCAGCTATTTGGGGGATTCCATCCCAGGAGCAGGCATCTCAATACTCAGCATATGCCCTTTTCTCCCTTGGAAACAACTTACATCTACCTCTGTCTGGCTGCTGTGGATATAGTCCAGCATTTGGCTCCCATTTCCTTGGTTCTTCTTGTAGAAGCTGTGAGTATACCCTCTTCTCTTTGCTCATCTGAGTTGTTAAGCCTAGTCTTACTTTTTTCCTTTTTTCTTATTTCAGAAATAAAAAGGCCACTTGGCATAACAAATTTTTTATACCAAAGGAAATCTTACTTCCCTGGTTTTAATCTCAGGAGACCAGACAGCAGGCAGCATCTCTTATGATGCTACTTTCTGGGTTGGGTACCTAAGCAGGGTTATCTGATGTTATACACAAGTTCAGCCATTTGAAATACTCATTCCTTGGTTCCCCCAGGGGACTGTTCCCAGGATCCCCCTCCCTTGGATTTTAAAATCTTCAGATGTTCAAGTCCCTTCTATAGAATGATGCTGTATTTGCACAGAACCCATAAACATCTCCCCCCCATTGTACTTCAAATCATCTCTGGAGTTTGCTACCTAATACAATGTAAATGCAGTGGAAATGGTTGCTATACTGTGTGGTATGGGGACTAGTGACAAGAAGGATGTAGCTGTCATAGACCTAACCTAGCTCACAAATGAGACATGACTCTAATATTCCAACACTGCATGGTGGACAGATGGAGGATCTGTGAAATGGCCAAAAGCTAATGCAAGACACAAATCACTTAATCCACATGGATTCACATAGTGTTTGGCATGCAGCAAATTCAACTTTTGTTGGTTAGAACTTTAGGGAATTACACCCCTCATACTTTCAAGCTATGGCTGGTAGAGTGCAGACGCAGAGGGTGGACTATTTAAAATCACTTTTGCTTTTCTTTTTCTTACTTTTTTAACTTTGAAACTTTCCAAATACAAATGAAAGTGAAGTTAATGAACTTCCCTGTGTTCATTACTATTACTCAGCTTCAACAACCATCAGGATCATTGAGTGGGTTTTTTTTTGTTGTTGTTGTTTGTTTCTTTTTGTTTTTTTGTCCTTTGGAGACAGGGTCTCTTTGTAGCCCCAGCTGGCCTGGAATTCACTGTGTAGACCCAGGTTGGCCTCAAACTCAGAAAGACCTGCCTGCCTCTGCCTTCCAAGTGTTGGGATTAAAGGCATGCCCTACCACATCTGGCAGGATCACTGAGTTTTAAAGCTCAGAAGAATCTTGGAAAATCACTTTCATTTGTTTGAGTGTCTATCATGTGCCCAAATGATGAAGTAAATGCTAGATTATCTACAATACTTACAGAGTGTCATTTTTATTTTCTAGGAGGGAAGTCGAGTATGTGTCCAACCTTAGTGACAGCGGCAGGTGGCAGAGTTGGCACCAAAGCCAGGCATCATGAATGCCAGCTCAGTCTGTTCTCCCTGCATCACTCAGCTATTACAAGTGTTCCTAAGCTTACCATGGAATTATGTCCAAATAAATACACCCCAAAGTGACATTACCATAGGTCAAAAATGCTTTGAACACCTAGCCTCTTGAGTCTCCTAGCTCAGCAACACAGCATATTGTAGAGCACCTGCTATTTCCACTTATGGCTGTGTGGTTGGCTGAGTGCTGTGGCTCACTGCTGTTGCCCAGCATTTAGAAGACTATACCACATATTACTAGCTCAGGAAAAGGCTGAAATTCCAAATGCAGTTTAGACCAAGAGTGCATTGTTTCATGCAATCATAAAGCTGAAGTCATAAATGGAGCCACCCTAAATAGGAACCATCTGTGCACCCTTGCAACATTGCTTGCAGTTAGTGCAGCGTTTCATTGCGAACTTGGGAAGCACCCAACACACTCCATGACAGAATCCACAAACAACACAAAGTGTGATACTATAAAGTGATGTTCACTGAGTCCATCTACTCTTCCATGAAGAACAAATCATGTAGTTACCTGTTTCACTGCATCTTCATAGGATGGGGGCTGGGTTATCTCTGGAGCTGTTGAATTTGACTTAGAAAAAGTTGGAGATGGAATCGAAAACTTTGGCCCCACCTTATCAGAAGATTGTAAACCAGTTATCTGCAAGTGAATAACAGAGAAAGTCAATGGACAGAAGAAATACTGCTTCTGTTCTAGAAACTACAGGTGCATTCAGAAAAATACCCAAATACCAAGGAAAAATAATAGAAGCCATAGATGAGAAAATAACAAACAGCACTAACATATTAACACCAGTGCATAGCACTGTGAACTTTAGTATTGGACCCTCACAGATCTATCTCTCTCCTTAAGATAAAATCTGTTTTATTATAAGATGAGAAAGGATATGAACCTATTTCAATAAAAAGAAATTCTTCAATTCAGGGATTTGGGGAGTAATTTGTTCCCTAGATCAATTAATTCCTAAAGGGGTCATTTTCAGATAGTTACTCTGATGAGTGTGGTCTTCTGTGGACACCTGGTCCATGTGAGGGTCTTTGTCGCTTTGCTGACTTCAGATATGTGGCTCTGTTATCTTTTGCCTATGATCTTCCTATCACTCTCCCTTTGCTCTGGGAACCCCCCACTCTCCACTGTCCTGACTCTCTACACCCCAATTCTTCTGCCAGCTGATGACCACCCCTTGCTCCTTCCACAGAGATGTGGCTCTTGGTCCCATCTTTCTGCATCTCTCCAGTCTTCTCATAAATCCCTTCTGCATATCCCTCTGTCTCCTACACCATCTCCCTCTGTGCTTCTATTTCATTCTCCACCTTTACAGAACCTGGTCTGTTGTCAGTGTTGTTTTACAAACATGCCACAGCTGTTTCAGTCATCATGACTTCTGGGGTGACCCCCAGAAATGATTCCCTGAGATTCCTTTAACTCACATCTGTACATGCATCTCAAAACATTTCAACTAAACTTGTTTCTCTGAAATGAAATTTTCTTTTTTCTTTGAACCCTATCATTTGCTTTGGAGGATGGGGTTTATTGAAGAGAGAAGAGGCTTACATGGATTCCAGGTTGAAATCTTTTCTCAGGTACTTACTTTTGAATGAATACCTGGGCTTTTGGGACAAGGGTTGCCCCCAGCACCACGACTGCTGTCTGCTTGGGCTCCGGAGAAAGGCTGGTGGAGACTGGAAGATGGGGGAGAGAAGGTGGGAGGACAGCCTTCATGTGCTCCTGAGTTCTGTAGAAAAAAGGATGTGACAAATTAGAGGGTCGTCAGCATACTTAAATGTGGCCTTGCCTGACACTTCTGGCTCCTGTCTTGTGTCTCCAGATTTCTGATCTTTACAAAGATTCCTCAATTCCACCGGCAGATGAATTTGCCTAAAATCTGGCTTTGTACATATCACCCATGGCTCATAAACTTTAGTAGCTTTCACATATCCATAGCATAGAATCTGCACATCTAACCTGTGTATTTGAGACTCTCCATAGACTGGTGTTATTTAGTTCTATAAGCCTAACTTCTTCTGTGAACATGTCTTACACATTATACCAATGTCTTTGATTATGTGGAATGTCCTTTTCCCATTTAGACTTTGTTAAAGTCTCTTTAGTCTCATGAACAAAAGGCAAGTGTGCTGATGTCTGGATCTAGTCTTCTCCTTTTCAGTGCTACCTGTAAAGTCCAATCCATTCACTTCCAGTACTCTTCTAGCTCTTCACCATCAATGTCTCCCCTGAACCACCTACTCTTTGTAGCACATTTTAATGCCATAGGAATAGATCATGTTATCTGTGTTATCTTTTCATAATGAACTTGTTTATGTCCTATAGTCCTTGTAATCCATAAGTCACTGTATAGTGTTACTTCCTCCTGATAGCACCAATATCATCAAAATGGAAAATCATGGCTTGGAGCTATGGCCCAAGGCTATTTTTACATTTCTTGCCTTGGACACTATGCATACAAAAGATGTTTGTGAATGGTGTTGATAAGTTATTTTAGTTCCTATTCCTCCCAGGATATCCTCTAAGGAGTGGGTACTGTTCATTTGAATATTTATTCTGGGATGTTTGTAAAACTGTGTTTTCATTACCTGAATGAGGTCAAGCCTCATTCTTCCAGGACAGCAACATTCAATGTGAAAGGGGTATAGACTTTAGAATCAGCTAGTCCTGGATTCATATGATTCTAGGCAAAGGGTTTAATCTTCCTGAATCTCAATTTTTCTCAATGGTAAATAAAACTACTTAACTGAAGCTCATAGAGTTTCTGTGATGGTGAATGAAGTGATATACATACATACCTCTTAATACTTGGAATTTGGCAATTAATGTGTGTTTTCTTAGATTTTATAACCTTTTGACAATGTAGTTTTCTTTTACAAATATACTTAGATATACTTTCCTAATAATCATTTGGGTTCATAGGCAAAAGGAAAGTCTTTACTAATCATGTTGAGTCTAGTCTTTGAACTATTCTAAGTCTTTCACTACCAGGCCCCCCTAAATGCTCCTAGACTCATCTGAATTATTCTAAGTCATCTCTTATAAGTCTTCTTTCATCCTGCCATAGCACGTTGCCTTTCTTTCTGGTCCCTGGGCATTCTATATATGTTCTGACTCAAGACCCTTGTACCTGATGTTTATCCTATGCCTTCAATGCCATCATCCCAAATGTTAACAATGTTTTCTCTTTTACCTCTGTTGTATAGCAATTTGCTTTGAGATAAAACATTCTATTTTGCAAGGAAGTTCCTTAAGACACAGGATGTTCTAACAGGAAGTATTCTACCCTGCAGGGAAGCTCCTTGCATTTAGGAAATAATCAACTCAAAAATCTTCAAGAAGTCCCTGAAACTGATCAGATTCACTAGGCTCAAGCTTATATAATCAGTAAAGGCTACTGAGAGACAGTCTCAGACCAGCAGAGCAATCTTAGAGTTAGAGACAAGTCAAGTTTCCTGGAAGCGACTCAGACCACCTGAGCTGCCTGAAAGATATACACTTTCCAATCTGCCGAGCTGCCTGCAAGTTGTGCAGTGAGCTCCAGGTTTCCAGCTTTTGTGAACTATCACTCATGATGGGGTGGGCTTTGTTCATGTAGCTGTCTTTGAGTCATTTCTGCTCCTGTAAGTAACCTTTCCCCCATCCTCCTGTAAGTAACGCTAATAAAACTCATTGGTTCACCAAAATGGACTTTGGTAGTATCTTTACTTTGGTCTATCATTAGTTCCCTAACTGGGAGAACAGCTGATTGTTCACATCTCCCCAAGAACAGTGTCATACAACAACTTCTTTCAGGTTTTTTTTCAATGTTCCTGACCCTTTTATTCAAGGTTGGAAACTTATAGGCTTCTCAGACAGACACAGCCCCTCTGCACTCTTTCTATAAGATGCAGATGCACTGACCATTTTCTTACTGTCTGTCTTCTTACAGGAGCAGAAATTTTTGTTTGGGCAGCATGTGGAGCATAAACTGTCTCAGTAAGTAACTATTTCTACTAGGTTGACCATTACACAAGAGAAGGATAAGTACTCTCTCACATGTAGGTTCTCTCTCTCTCTCTCTCTTCTCGATAGGGTATCACAATGTAGAGTTTCTGGCTGGTCTGGAACTCACTATGGAGACAAGGCTGGTCTGGAACTCACAAAGATCTATCTGCCTCTGCCTCCTGAGTACTGAAAATAAAAGCAACCATATCCAACTTCCTCTCTGAGATGCAGGTCTTGCTCTGTCCTTATACTCACAGTAGTCTCCTGCCTCAGCCTTCCAAGTGCTGGGCCCACCATGACCAACTTCCTTCTGGCTATACAATGATTTGAGTTACCATAAGTGTTGGTAACAAGGAGTTTTTTTTTTTCCTGGTCTTTTTGAGACAGGGTCTGGAACACACTATATAGACCAGGCTGGCCTTGAAGTCACAGAGAGCTGCCAGCCTCTGCCTCACAAGTGTTGGGATTAAAGGTGGTGAGCCACCAGGGCCCAGGGGCAGCAAGGAGTTTTGAGAACAGTAATCAACAAACTATAGCCCACAAGCTAAATGTTACCTGCTGCCTGATTTTGCAAATAAAGTTTATTGGAAAGCTATGCATTCACTTACAGGCTGTCTATGGGTGCTTATATGATACAAGGGTAAAGCTGAGTAGTTTGTTCTGTAAAGCTATTTTCCTTCTAAGCCTTTATAGAGCAAGACCGCCCAGCCCTTAGGCAGGGTTGGCAGACTGTGGTGCCTGAGAGACCCTGCTGGGCTTCTAGGGAGCCCTTCATAATTTGTTCCAATATCAACTCTTTAGTGGTAGGAATCCATCTCTTTGAAGAAGCCACACATATGCTTACCTGTGCACATCCTTGGCTACTGCTGGGTGAGGTGACCCCATGTCCCTCTCCCTGTGCCCCAGAGGAGGGCAGGAAATAATGGTTGTTGGGTGATGGAGGCAGGCTGATGTGCTGCGGGCTCTTCAGGGCCCCGAGGGGCGAATGCTGAGGGGAACACTGGGGGCTGAGAAACGTGGACGAGAGTACATGGGGTTGACCTGAGGACTCCGCACAGTGAGCGTTTCCCAGGGGCAGCAGCTGAGCGGCCTCACAGGCTGTTGGTGGGGGACTGTCGGGGCAGTGGCCCTGTGCTTTTCCAGATGCCTGCTGCGCTGCGAAGGGACAGCTGGAGCAGGCATCTTCCTGCTTGATGGGGGCGGTCAAGAAGGGCAGCGGCTTCTGGTCTGCGCAGCCGCTCTTCTGCTTCTGCAGCTGCATCCTCAGCTCCTCCACCTGCCGCTGCTCCTGCCTCAGCTTCCAAGTGAGCTCGTTGATGACCTTCTGCTTCTCCACGAGCATCTTGTCCTTCTCCGAGTCCAGCCCGTCAGGCTCCGAGGGTCCCGAACCCCCGTTCAGGCTGCTCAGGAGGCTCTCGTCGGTGCAGGCGGGCACAGGGGATGTGTGCAGGCCAAAGCTGGGCGATGCATCGGTGAAGGCGTCCGGCAGGGACCCCGCGGCCGAGAGGTCAGACGAGGCGGGGGAGATCGGAGGGCTGGAGCTCGTGCTGCCGAAGTGGTAGAAGCCCGACGGGGAGGACTGGTAACTGGGCAGCGTGTTGGGTGTGACAGGAAAAGTGACTGTCGTGATGTCCCCAAAGTTGGGCACCGGGTTGCCAGCACAATCCTGGAAGGGTCTAAGCCGGTCCACCAGAGCCGTCTTGGTGCCCGACACTGGCAAGCCTCTTATTCGAAGCTGTTGTCTTAACTCAGACACCTAAGAAAACCCGGGCATCGTTAGTGAGCTGTTGGGTGACAATATGTTGAAAGTGCACTTGTTATTAAGTGAGCTTTAAGATATCACATATGGCTTTAAGATATAGCTTGTGGTGGTGTATGCCTGTAATCCCAGCACTTGGAAGGCAGAGGCAGGGGGATCTGTAGGAGAGTGAGTCCAGCCTAGTCTACACAGCAATTCCAGGCCAGCTGGGGATACAGAGTTACCCTGTCTCAAAATACAAACAAACAGATATCTCACATGGAATTTTACAATATCCACTTCTCTTTTATTTTTTTATTTTTTGGTCTTTTTGAGACAGGGTCTCTCTGTAGCCCCAGCTGTCCCGGAACTCACTATGTAGATCAGGCTGGCCTTGAACTCACAGAGATCCACCTGCCTCTGCCTCCCAAGTGCTAGGATTAAGGGCATGCGCCACCATACCCAGCTCTTTTATTTTTTAAAAATATTTTATTTGTTATTTGTTATTTTTATTTTTATGTGTATGAGTGTATTGCCTGCATGTGTATAAGTGTATCTGTGTGTGCAATGCCGGAGGAGGTCAGAAGGAAGCATCAGATCCCCTGGATCTGGAGTTATGGACAGTTGTTAGCTGCCATGTGGGTGCTGGGAACTGAACTCAAGGTCCTCTGCAAGATGTATGTGCTCCTAGCCATTGAACCATCTCTCCAGCTCCCACATTTTGCATAATTTTAACAATTATTTTTAAAAACCATCATAACGAGGATGTGGTAGTGCACACCTTTAATCCCAGCACTTGGGAGGCAGAGACAGACAGATCTCTGTGAGACTGAGGCCAGCCTGGTCTACATAGCAACTCAGGCCAGTTGGGGACTGGGAGCCACTGTCTCAAAAACAAACAACAACAACAAAAACCCAAACCCACAATGTAACAAAACAAAATATTCCAAACCAACTAAACAATAAAAACTTTATCATAGCCAAATGGTCCTCCACTTACCATGGATTATATACCAATAAATACATCATAAGGTGAAAATATGAAGTTGAAAACACATGGAATACACATGACCTGCAGGCCATAGCAAAGCACTAAGTTGCGCTTAGAGCCATCAGCCATTCCCATGACCACAGGGCTGACTGGTCCCCCAGGGCACCACTGATGCTTAACATTGAGAGAGAGAATTGGAAAGCATACCACTACCCCAGGAGATATAAACAATCCTTAATTCAGGTATGGTATGTGTGGAATTCATATTATTTTCAAACTACTATAAGTAAAACTTTTAAAAATTATACAGGGAGTGGGGAACCATCTGTAACAGGTCTTCATAGCCTTAGTTATGAGAATATTGGGATTAAATGATGGCAGATGTCACCTAATTCATGGCCCTCCAAATCCATCTCGGTCCTGGAAACTGGTGTCCACTTAGGTTTAGACACAAGTCTAACAGTAATCCCCAAACAACTAGCTTCCAAAATGAGCCTCCTCCCACCATGTGCTCTTCCTCAATCTTGAACATGTACCAACTCCCTAGAGGGCATGACAGCATAGACCGTAGGCTAACCCTGGAGCTCTTCAGTAGGTCTGGGGTGGGAATGAGGTTCTTCTATTTATAACATGTTTCCAGAGGGTGCTAGTGCTGCTGATTCTGGACCAGACTTTGTGAACAAGGCTCTCCATTAACATTATGTCCTAATCTTGGGGGCGGGGGGTGGGATGGGATGGGGAGGTATGTGTGCGTGTATATGTGACTATGCCTGGACGCAAGTGTATACATCTCTACAAGGGATGGAACCCAGGGCCTTGTACATGGCAGACAAGCTGTCTACTCTTGAATCGCACCCTCAGCTTCTGGGGTTTGTTTTTGCTTTTATTTTGTTTGGCTTGCCTCAAACTCACAATCCTCTTGCCCCAGCATCCTGAGTGTTGGGATTATAGATTTTCAACACCATGCCTAGTTATATGTTGGATCTGTGTTAATTTTCGTTACTGGATGGATAACAATCACATAATGAAGAAAATATGTGGTGATGAGACCATTGTCCAAACTCAGGCCCTGCCTGCTCCTAGCTCCTGGATCCTCTGTGTGAAGTGGACTAATAATTTCTGCCTTTATACAGCTTTACAAGGACATAAATGGCTTCAGATTTGTAAAACACTTGGAACAATGGTTGAAAAGTGGTTGTGCTAATTATTATAATTATCATTACTATTTTGATTCACATGTAATTAGTTTATTCCTGCAATTTCATAATGTTCACAAAAACTGGAAACTATAAAATATATACTGGTACAGGAACATGTTAAATAAAAATAGTGCAGGCAAATGGTAGAGTTCCATGGATTCATTAAGGTTAATGTATATTTGTTGACATTGAGTGAGGAATAATTGCCTATGGTACATTATTGTTATTATTTTGATTTTCTGAGACAGGGTCTCACCATGTATCCCTACCTGGTCTGGAGCTTGCTATGTAGACCAGGCTGACCTCAAAGTTATAGAGATCCATCTGTCTCTGCCTCCAGAGTGCTGGAATTAAAGGTATGTGCCACCATGTCTGGCTATTTATGGTGTATTATTAAGAGAAAGAAAGTCTGAGTTGATATTATTTTAAATAAATTGTATTAACAACATCTGCATACATTTAAAATATTTTGTTTATTATTTTATTTTATGTGTATGAGTGTATTGCCTGTATGTATGTAAGTGCACCCATGTCATATCATGCCCAGAGAGGTCAGGAGAAGGTGTCAGATCTCCTGGAAGTGGAACTACAGATGGTTGCTAGCTGCCATGTGATGCTGGGAACCAAACCAAGGTCCTCTGGGAGAGCAGCCAGTGCTCTTAGCCACTGGGCCATCTCCCCAGATCCTCTGCATACATTTAAACTTGTGTTTGCAAATGAAAATATCTAGATGAAGATATGGTGAAATATTAGTTCCCATACTCATCATATGTGTTTTATAAATATTCCATGTAAACAAACACATCACTTCTACGATTAAAACAGGAAACATATTAAACAGCTAACATCCAATAATTTTGTGAAACGAAGGATATGCAGGAGATGCCCTCTGAAATTCTGTTTGGAAAGCTCTTTTAAGCATAAGAGCAAATGCAGTAATCACAAAAACATTCACAGCCAAAATTAAAAACTTGGGTAAATCAAAAAACTTACAAATAATGTAAATCCAAATAGCAATGCAGGGAAAAAGGCAAGTGCAGTACAAACAATAAGTTGTCAAAATCCAAGGTATCACATGCGGTTTACCAACAAAAAATGAAAAAGAATAACACACAACATAAGAATGGGTATGGAATATGGTCCTACTCTTTATAAACAAAAATACAGTTTAAAAATGTCTAATAATATATGTGTAAAATAATTAGCAATTTAAAAAATGTAATTAAAATAAATATATCGGTATATTTGGATTCATCCAATTGACAGCAAAATGAGTAATAGCTGTTTTTTGGGTGGGGTGGGTAGGGTCTCCCTCTAGCCACAGCTGGTCTGGAACTTGCTATGGAGACCAGGCTGGCCTCGAACTCACAGAGATCCACCCGTCTCTACCTCCCAAGTGCTGGAATTAAAGGCACCACCACACCCAGCTAATAGCCTGATGTATCAATGAAGTAACAGCAAAATGAATAAAAATCTTAAAAAGACAAAGGACTTTATTGCCTTCCTGTTCAAAGCATGGTCTTGCAAGCAGCTGCTGACTGGTGTCTGGGAGCCAATGAGAAGTACACTCTCAGCCCCTCCCACACTACCGACAGGGGGTCTGCAGCTTAACATGACGCCTGTGTGCATTCATGTTGGAGTAAAGGTGTTTCAAAATGCAACTCTAAAAGTATACTGGAACAGATGTTCAGCAGAGAGAACTCTGGTAATACCCATCAAGAACTTCAAACAATAATGATATATTTTAAGGGTCTGGAGAGATGGCTCAGCAGTTAAGAGCACTGACTGATCTTGCAGAGGACCCGGGTTCGATTCCCAGCACCCACATGGTGGCTACAAGCCGTTCTTAACCCCATTTCCAGGGGAATCTGAAGCCCTTTTCTGACTTCCATGGTATTGCAGACACGGGTGTACTCACATACATACAGGCAATATACTCATACACATAAAAAATAATATAAATAAAATATTCTAAAAAATAATGTATTTTAAACCAGGAATTTCACTCCAATGTGCCTGGAGGAGTAATCAGAGAATTCAATAAACATGTGTACAGAGGCCACTAAAATCCTATTCCAAATAACAAATAATTGGCAGCCAGTTAAATGTCCAAGAACGGAATGCTAACTAGGTGACAGAGTGATAGCTTGCTATTACAAATAAAAGTTTTATTGAATATTAAAAGCTATGGAAAATGTTCATGATGTGTCAGGAAAGCATGTCAGAAATTTATGGGCACGTAATTATTTAAAAATAGTTGTTGTAAAACAAAATATGTTCATATGCATTAAAGGCTGGAAGGAAATGCAGTGTCATGTTTGCTCTGACTCTTGTCTATTCAAATGCCTTTTATTTTGCTGTATGTTAGCATGTTTCAGTCTTGAATATGCGACTTTATAATCAACTAAAATGATCAGAAAAGTATCACAGTAACTTATACAGACACTTGACATGCTGTCTCTCTGTAGAGTCTTGCTGGACACGTTTTATTAATTCTTTTTCTTTCAAATTTTCTGGTTTGAAAAAGCAAGATGGCAACTCATTATTGTTTTAATTTTGAGTTACTTAAAATTAATGAGTTCTACACTTATTTTTAGACTCTGTTCTTGCACTGAATAATTTAAGCTACATTATTAAATAATGCCAATCGTATCCTAAAATAAAATGAATACTTGTTGAGTTCAATTTACCCTAAAATTTCAGAATATTATGCTGTGTTCTTGCTTGAGGCAAAGGCTGCACACTGCTTTGCCACATTCACTGGTATTTTAATTATTGGTAATTTTAAATCTATTTATTATGAAAAAGTCAAACACAGGCAAGAATAGACAGAAAAGCATAAGGAACTCATATTCATCAAGCAATTTTAATAATTATCATTTTATGTCAACATTGTTTCTTTCTCTACCTCTCTTAAATTGTTTGTAGCAAATTATATCATTTAATCTCTAAACAGCTTTGTGTGTATCTCTAAAAGAGAAGTGCTCCTAAAAACATATAAACAATAGCATTATCATACCTTAAAAATGAACATTTTCTTAATCACCATCAAATATTTTCTCAGTGTTCAGAATTCTTAGTTCCTTCCCCTCACTATCCCTCATATTTCTGTTTTTAGAAATAGGGTTAAAAACCCATACACTATGACATAACCATTAATAATTCTTGTGAGTGTACATGTATGTGTATGTGGGAGGTGGGCAGAGGTTAACCTCAGGTCTTGTCCTTTATACACCATCCACCTTGGTTGTTTTTGTTTGCTTTGAGACAAGATTTCTCATTGGCTTGGGGATCCATGGCCTGATGAAGCTAGCTTAGCTGGCTCCAGGGATTCTCCTGAATCTGCCTTCCCCAGTTCTGGGATTATAAGTGTGCCACACATAGGTGCTGGTGACCAAACTCAGGGCTTCATGTTTCTGTGGCAAGCACTTCATCTACTGAGCCATCTCCCTGGCCCTAAAAACTCTTCAAGGAGAAATCAGACTTTTCAATACCCTTTACTCTTATATAGCAAAACACTTACTGGAAACAGCCTTCACTATTTACTTTTCTAATTACTTTGGGAGAGGGTCACCTTCCTAAATCCCTGACTCCATCCTTCCTCAAATGTGGTTACCAACGTCACTAGTCTCCTTTCTTCCTCTTCTCCCCCACCCCCAACTCCACTCCTTCCCATTCTTTTCTTTTTTCCCCCTCTCATGATCTCCTTCACTTTTTTACCTTCAACTTTCCCCACTTTGCACAGGTTTCTAAAATCGCTGTGTGGTTCGTTCCCACGTTCCCCACGACATAGCTGAGTTGAATGAGGATGAAATGTTTCTCACCCCCCAAAACTGGCTAGACTTTGTGCTGCTTGACTTGTTACCAGCCACTCAACATTCCCAACCTGAGTGAACTTGCCTCTGACCCTTCTCATTGGTCCCACTCCAATTCTGCCCTTGAAGTAACTTTCCCAGGACTCCAGATACATCTCTCCACTTACTGAGCGAGAAGTCAAATCCAGGCACGCTCCCTCCCTTCACCTCTTCCTTTCTAGTTTCATTTCAGGGTAAGGACGAAACTTTTGTAATCAGCCACTTAAGATGGAGGCCTGTTTTGTCTTAGGTAAGGCAGCTAATTTGCTTACCTCTTAAGACTCTGGTTTTTATTTTAATTTTTAAAATTGGTCTGATAAAAATGACCTTGCCAGGTAGGAATCTATATAGAAAGGCTAGCTAAAAAATAACAACTGCCCTCAACACCACCACCATCTCCTTGATGGGTCCTAATTACTGTGATTGTCAGCAACCAATGATGCTGCATGTGTGCATAGAAGGAACCACCTTTGGGCACTCTTCTCTGCCTACTGCCACCAGCATATCTGGACTTTGTTTTCTCTGGGACTGAGGGCTCTTCAGCCCCTTATGGCTCAGAGCTCTTATGCCTTGATTGTCTAGCTGCAAAAAATAAATTTATTGTAGTAAACATAACAAAATCTTATCTGACCACTATACTGGTTAATGTACAGTTTAGCAGCAAGCACATTCACACTGATGTGTAACCATCCATCACTTTTTATGATCTCAACTTGAAACTATATCCCCATTAAACAACTCCATGAAGTCCTTCTTGGGTGTCTCTGGTACCATCTATTTTCTCTTTCTGTAAATCTGCTCATTTGAATCAGAGATACTCCCTGCTTTAATGGAACTCCTTGGGTATTTGACCCATTGCGCTTGTCTTATTTCACTCAACATAATGTTTTCAAGGTAAGATGGCATCTTTTTATCTCTATGAATTATTGACTTGAAGAATGGAGGGCAGGTCACCTCATGGCTCCAGAAAGCATTATCATAAGCTTAGCATCTTTTTGGTGTGCAGATGCCAAACTGAACAAGCTTGGTGAAGCCTGTGGAAGGAGCAGAGGAACCATTGACATCAGGACCCACAATATCTTACTGGTACTTGGAATTTCCTTCAATTTGGAATAACCTTAATTCTATGTTCTCCCTCAAAAAAAAAAAAATGATGACCGAGTATTAAGGATGGACATGAAGGTGATAATGAGGATTGAGGACAGAGAAAAGGCCATGAGACTGGCATGATTAAGGCTACAAGGACCCACAAGGACCTTTAAGAATACAGGATTTGTGGTTGGAGACATGGCTCTGCAGTTAAGAGCACTGGCTGCTCTTGCAGAGAACCTGGTTTCAGTTCCCAGCACCCACATGACAGCTAACAACCATCTATAACTCCAGTTCCAGGGGATCTGATGCCCTCGTCTGGCTTCTGTAGACATTGCATGAACATGATGCACTTACATACATGCAGGCAAAATGCTGACACACATAAAATAAAAATTAAAAATAAAGAACACATGCCTTTAGTGAAAAGCTTTTAAAATGGTTTGTGGTGAGCAATAGATGAGTGGAAACCAGACAAGTGTAATCGCTGAACATGGAGCGAGAGTTGGATTGTGTTCACACACTAGAGAAACTGTCTTCATCCTGCTCACTTATGCTGTGGATACTAGACAGATGGATGAACAGGTCAGTCCTGAGGATTGCTTTGAAACATTCCAGGTTTGACTAGAAGTTCAATGTCATTTCAGTAAACTGAGATCCATGCAGTCTGTAGCATATAATACATTGCTGGCATGCACATGTCATTTAACAAGGCATTGCTTCAGGGCAGAAGCCCCCCAATTTGGGAATATAATAGAACAGGACATTATTTTAAATTATATTATTGACAGTGTGTTTCTTATTCAGTAAGGCCTAAAATCCTTATTTAATAATATTCTTATTTGGACTAGAGAGATGGCACTGACTGCTCTTGCAGAGGACCTCTGTTCTATTCCCAGAACCCACATGGTAGTTAGCAACTGTCTGTAACTCCAGATCCAAGGGATCTGATGCTATCTTCTGGCCTTTGTGGGCATTGCACACACAGGCGCACTTACATACAGACAGGCAAAACACTCATACATATAAAATAAAAATTTTAAAAATTAATGTTATTCTTATTGGATAAAATATACAGCCATACCAAGACCACTCAACTTCTATTGGCTACCATCAGCATTTTCTAATGGAAAGGCTACTTCAAAATTCAAAAGCATTAGAAGGAAATATATATTTGAGCATACATTAGCTATGTGGATAGCCCTTAGCCACGTGAAGAACACTGCATGAGTCCTGTTTTTTTTTTCCTCATTTTACCAGAGATTGCTAATGGTTCATCATGGAACTGACCATTGATTTAGAGCATTCTGGAAGCTTACACAGTTGCACACTTGCACTCTGTGCTAAACTCTACCACATATACTAGTCCATTTGACTCTTATTAACTTATTTATGCAATGAGGACTCTAAGATGTGGAAAAGGGTGAAGACTAGCTCAAGGTTGAACAATTTGGAAAGTTGAGCCAGGCCCTGCAGGTGAATTCTGCCACACACTCTAGCCTATTTTTTCACTCAAGAAATCAGGTAACAACATATTTCTGTGTTTGTTTAAAAACATGAAAAGAAAATCAGATCAAATCATATACCTTGAGATCATCCAGGTTAGATGGAAGTGGGCCTGGCTTGAGTGAAGAAACACCAGTTTGTCCAGAAAAGCTATTTTTGACAGGGGACAGAGGGGTATTGCTCAGTGCTGCTGAAGAGGAGTTCGGATTTCTCACCATCTGTTCATTTGGTTCTCTAAAAAACAAAAAGGCACTTACAGTACGCTCAGACATGTGTGGAGAAGCTTGCATTTGAAACAGATCACAGAGTAAATGCCTACAAGGATCGGGCAGGTAACAAATCAGCAGAAAAGGACTGGAGGAAGAGAATAAGATTGCAGATTGCTAAAAACCTTTCTGCTTTGTTTTGGGGAGGTGGAGACTGGGGGCATAGGGGAGTCTCATATCAGTCCATGATCTTGCTGAGACACTGAAGGGGCCTGAGCGTGCTGCATGAAGCTTTGTCCTGCTCAGCTTTCTATATAATTACAACTGTGACCTGAGAGTGGCCAGAGACAGGTGACTGAATCCTCTTGCTAACAGTATAGGTGAGGACGTTCACCATCCAGAACACGATAGTGCAATATGGGCAGAGCCTGGGCTCAGGCATCAATCCCTGAGGCTGCCACTCAGCTATTTGGTAGTGTTCTGGAATTGTGAGCAATGCCAATACTACATTCTTAGACATTCCAGAGTTCAGCTTGGAAATGCTAATAGCTTCCTTTTTCTCCAAAGAATCTTGATTTATTTGCTTCCTCCCACCCTTATGGTCCTGAAAATGTGTGCATGGTTTCTAAAGAGAGTCACAGTCCAAACATGCCAGACAAAGACATGATGTAATACAGGATGTGCTGGTCCCAAGTGGCTGACCAGCAGGTCTCAGAAGGAGAAGCCATCCACCCCCCACCTCTGCCTGCTGCCTCCACCCCAGGGTGCTGCACTCACTTGAGCTGTGCTTGGTGCATCCCAGGATAGCTGAACCTGTGTTGCTGTTGTTGTTGCTGCTGCTGCTGCTGCTGCTGTTGCTGCTGCTGCTGCTGCTGTTGCTGCTGCTGCTGCTGGCTAAGGATCTGCAGCTGCAGGAACAGTTGCTGCTGCTGGAGCAGCCGGGCGTAGGCTGAGTCCATGGGTGGAGGAGACTTCTCTGCCTTCTGGTCTGGGGGGATATACTGGTGATACTTGAGCTTCTTCACCTTTGGCTTGGGGTCCTTGGGCTTTTTGTGACGGTTCTTACTGTCACCCAAAGACTTGGACTGCCAAGAGAAGTGACATGTGCTTTAGGTGGGGATGAGGAGGTTTTCCTCAAATCCTGGAAATACAGTACTGTAAAAGCATGGTGCACAGTTTTCATAGTCAGATGGGAAGATCTGCTATGAACTTATCACCCCGGTAGTATACAGGTTCCTTAGATCTTAGAGGGGGCTCCAGGAGCTTTCCTTCATGGAGTAGGGTCTGATGGAAGCCCGAGTTTCAATGACTTCCATAAAGCCAATGGATAGCTTAGCATTCCAACTTGAAGATTACCCCTGAGAGTTCTTTCCCACACATGCATGCAGTCACCTTAAGTTAAGCACAGAATAAATTGACTTATTGACAGCATGAACTTAGATGAAGTTAGTATCATCATTGCAGATCCAGAATGTTGCTCTTAGTTGCTCTGGGCCAGGACCATAACAGACCCACCCACTTGCCCTCCCTCCTCCTTCACCAAATCCCCACACACAATCAGGAAGTGGTGCACTCTGAAATAATGAGTCTTTACATGAGAAGGGTTATCCACCCACCACACCCTTTCCAGGACTCACTCATTGTAAGTCATGGTTTGGACACAGCAAAGGAAGTTGAGGGTACAAGCTTGGGAATTAAGAGAAAGTTTTGACTGTGATACACTGACATAAGTTTACTACATTTAAATTCCATCATCTACAAGTTGAAGAAAAAATTCTTTATTTTGTGTCTTAGTGATCAATATAAAGACTATAAAAAGATCATTATACACACTGGTTTAGCAGGTAAAGGCACTTTCAGTCAAGCCTGATGATCTGAGTTTGATCCTCAGATTCCACAGTAGTGGAAGGAGAGAACCAACTTCTACAGGTCACCCTTTGACCTCCATGTATGTGCTCTTGTATGAGCATATGTGCTTACACACACTCACACATACCCAACTTCCACTAAATAGTTTTTTTGAAAGATCATAATGGTAACAGATGTCCTATTGAGGGTAATTTTATACATAAATGTCTGTAGAAATCAAAAGACTTTCATATATTAAAAAGCAATAAGTCTGTTTGTCATCAAGTTAAAAAAATTTCAAAACATGACTTTATTTCAGGTGGTTGAGAGGAAGAATATGGGTGTCACCGCCAAAGATTATGAAAGATGACCACAAGAAAACAGAGTTTTCCAGGTGCCTGGGAACTTGCTCATATGAACTTACAGTAATGGTGACAGCATGCACAAGACCCATGCAAATCAAACCAGAAAAAACCCAACATAGAAGTGGGGAAATGGGTAAGAATCCCCAACCTTAGCTGAGGAACTGTTGGCAGGTGATCACTGCTGGGTGAGGGAGAGTAGGTACTCTAAGGGAGTAACGCTAGATAGACTTCACCAGGCTCCAATGGATGAACTCACACTGAAGGATATCTGGGGACACAAATTTGACTCTGTAGACCTTTTAAAATATGACAAAATGTATGAAATATGGTGGGAGGGACTATGGAGGATTCAGATATTGGAGGGGGTTTAAATAGTATGCAAATGTATTGTATGAACGGCACAAATATATATTGAAAAAAATGTGAAGACTTGGAGGGAAGGTGTGATACTATCAGTGTCCAGAAGAGGGGGCTCCTGCATAGCTGGCAGGCACATTCTCCACTGGCAGCCTCCACACTTCAACCACAAAATGCACATTTGAATGTGACCGTCTCCCAGCAGCCTACCACTTGTTTTATTCTGACTCAACCGTCCTCTGGCTGAGGGTGCTTTGTTTTCTGTCTTCTTCCCAGAGACTGATGAATAATGATCGTGAGTGTTTCTGTGAGCTTGGTGGCTTCATTTCTCCCTGCTCATTAATTGATTAGTGTTCCAGTTAATTAATCACACATCTATACTTGGAGAGCTTCTGCAGGGTCCCACCACCAGCCCTGTCTGCCCTGCCTCACTCCAGCTCAGCTGCTGATCCCGTTTCATCCCTGGGCTTGCCTTGACTGGGGAGGATGGTAGGCCCAGCTGCATACTGTCCTGCAGCTGACTCAGGGGTCACGGAGATCTCTACATTGCTTTAGTATGGGTGCATTCCAGAAGATAATGAAATCAGAGCATTTTCTCTGAATAGCGTGTGACAAACATTATCAACCTTACACAAGTTCCAATCCCTTTTTGAACACGGGATATGAAGGCGGTGATGCTTGCTCATTTGTTTTTCTCTGTACAGCTGTATGGCATGCAAAAGGCAAGCACATGCACTTTCCTAAAAGTGAATCAGAGGGGATCCTATGGTGTTGAATTTCTAGGCTTGGATGCATGAACTGGAGAAAGGGAGGGATTACCCTGTCACTAGCAAGCACAAGACTCTAACATCTATACTGCTTCAAACTTGCATGCACACACACACACACACACACACACACACACACACACACACGCACACACCTCTTTGCCAAAGAATACCACCCCAACAACCTACAGACAAGGTGCTGGTGATACTCTGAAAGATGAAGCCCAAACTCTACAGCAGCCACTGAAGACAGTTATTCCTCACACTGCCCAGGTCTCCTCTCCAGCAGTGCAAACCCTCCCTCATCTTTTCCTTTCAATTCCCTGCCACCCGAAACAACCTTGCTGTCTGACTCCAGATCACGGTCAAAACTGGCTCCCACTTGGAGAGCTCTGTGTGTCCTCCTCACACACCATTTTGAGGGTGCAAAACAATGGTCACATCACCTGCTGAGAGGGTGAGGGAGAATGAAACCCAGCCTCCGTTCCCCCTACTTAGGCCAACAGCTCCCTGGGGAAGGAAAACCTCTTTTATTGTTGAAGTAAATTATAAAGAACATTTTAGTCATTCACAATTTTGTTCAACCATCATCTCTCTGTTCCATAAAATTTCTGTGACTCCAAAAGGAACTTCTCATCACTAAGAAGTCACTTCCTGCTCTCCCCCTTTCTCAGCTTCCACAACTGCTAATCTCTGTTTATCTAATTTGGATGCTGTACATACACATATACACACACACATATATATATACACACACACATATGCAATGTATGTATTTTGTGTCTAGTTTCTTATACTTCATATAATGTTTCCAAGGTTAATTCCTCTTGCAGTAAGTATCACTATGGCATTCCTTTCTGTGGCTGAAGCAATTGTGGATATTTGGTTTGGCCCTAACTTGTAAATATGGCAAATAGTGTTGCTACAAGATTCACACACACAGTTTTGTTTAGGCATTTATTTTTAATTCTTTTAGGAATTATTTAATTTATTTTTATTTTATGTGTATGAGTGTTATGCCTACATGCGTGTAAGTGCACCCGTGCCAGGCAGTGCCCATAGAGGACAAAGGAGGGTGTCAGATCCCCCGGAACTGGAGTTAGGGATGGTTGTTAGCCACCATGTGGGTGCTGGAATTTGAACCCGAGTCTTCTGCAAGAACAGCCAGTGCTATTAACTGCTGAGCCATCTCTCCAGGCCCAGGAATTCTTTTAGGTACATACCTAGGAGTAGAATTGCTGGGTCACATGGTAAATCTATCTTAATTTGCTGAGGAAATGATAAAAATTTCCATAGGAGTCAAAGCATTCTACTTTCTGACCAGTAGGGTATGACAATTCCAGTTGTGGGAGTGGAAACATCTTCATTAACATTTGTAATTTCTACATTAAAAATTTATTTATTTTTATATGTATGAGTGTTCTGCCTGCATGTATGTAAACGCATTCATGTTGTGAAATTCCCTCAGAGACCACAGAAGGTGTCAGACTCCCTGGAACTGGAGTTGTTAGCCACCATGTGGGAGCTGGGAACAGAACCTGGGTGCTCAGCAAGAGCAGCCAGTGCTCTTAACTGCTGAGCCATCTCTCCAGCCCTATTTCTACATTTTTGATTAATGCTCTCCTAATGTATTAGGAATGGGGTTTCCTTGGATTTTGGTTTGTACTCCCTTAAAAACTCACAGCATTGAGAACATTTTCATGTGTTTACTGATAATTTATATATTTCTAGAGAAGTATCTACCCAAGCCTTCTATGGGCATCTTACTTGCACAAGACACTGTTTGTGTTGGTGGTGCCTGATAACTCAACTAGACTGTTCGCTCCTTGAGGACAGATGGTGTTTCCTTTTGATTTATCATGCATCCTTTGGAGACCGAAGAGTATATACCTCCTTCCATAGGATTTTTGTGGTCTCAGAATCTGGTGAATTCTCTCACCTGCCTCATGAGATTCCTATCAGGAGCAGGGCTGAGAGGTTTTACCCTAGGTTTATTTCTTCTCAAAGAAGTCCTATAAAAGTATCTCATTAACCTAAAGGTGATGCTTCGTCAATAACTGGTGTTTAGGTATTGATCAATCAGAAGGATTGGGAACTCATATACAAACAAGCAGCCCTTGTGGGCCAGTGGGGTTTGCATGGATAATGATTTTCCTCAGATGGTCTGTGCTTCCTCTGGGCTTCTGGTACATCTTCCTGGTACAGGGAGATTGACAGCTTTACTGATTTCAATTATGAGAAATACTAATATAATTTATCTTGATATACAGTCTTACAAATAATGTGAACAATTTCCTCCTCCCTCCTGTCTAATGTACAGCATTCATTAGTAGTTATATAATTTCAAAGCTCTGGAACTGAACCACTCAAAGTGGGTTTGTAGTTTGGTTATGGAGTTTTACTGGGATACCAAAATGTTTGCCAACTACTTAGAGCACAAGGCTGTTACTGTATCATTGACTTTTACTTTAATTTACAACTTTAAGAATCCCATAAGATCATGTCAGCAAGCATTAAAGGTGGAACTGGAGCTGAAAAACATGCTCCCAACTAAATCAGAAGTCAGTTGGTATAAAATGCTATTATAAGCAGGTCAAATGTCTACCAAGCAGCTAATTAGGAAGGTGTGCTCTGAGAACTACTAGATACAATGCAGAGAAAATTAAATAAGAACTATAGTAATAACTACTGTCTCCTGTGAGTATAACCCCTCTGCTCATGTTCATTTCCTATGTGTTTTGGAGCTTTTGCAATAAGCAAGGCTTCATGGCTGCTTCTCACATATAGGACTCAACTTCTTTCTACTTGCTTATAGCCCTTTAAAGTCCTATGTGCATTGTAATCAGCTGTGCATCTTAGGGGTGGGCTCAGGAAATCTTTATTAATTTATTATTTAATTTTGTTTTGTTTTGCTTTTTCAGACAAGGTCTTGTTATATAGTCCAGCCTGGCCTTGAACTCACTATCCTACTTCTGCCTTCTTTTTGCTAGGATTACAGGGAGGTACCACCAGGCCTGACTCATGAAATGCAAGCCAGAAACATGTTGGCTGAGCTGTGATCACCCAACCATGCTCACACACAGGCTTCCCCAATGTTAAGAGTCCATGTACACTGATGGCACACCCCTCAGGGTATGGCCTGAACCTGTGTGTATGCCCATGTGACTCTCTTCGTGCCCACAGGACTGACCTGGAAACCTGTGCTTTGCATTGGAATCTGTGAGCTTGGCCCACAGTTGGGGACTGTCCTGGCCCATACCTTTACAGCAGTGTGCACAGGGATGGGGGTGCTGAGGGCGCTGAGCCCCTGCTTCCTGGAGTCTGGCTGGTTGCTTGGCTGGGAAGCAGTGTCATTCTTGTCATTTTCTGAGCCAGGAGCAAGATCCTGAAATCCAAATTTCAGCATTAGTAGGAAATAGGAATAAGAGGTACTGCACATCTGTGTTAAAGTTCTGCTGTTTCCTTCCAGCTTCTTGTCTGGGTAAACATCGGTGCTCCCTCCAGGAAGGCATCCCAATCTGTCACCCACTCCAGGGCACTTCTCAGAGAGAAAGGGGCCCGTTAGCACTGATTCCAGAACATAATGTATGCTCCTGGCTTGTTCTGGCAGATTGGGATGTCTGAGCACCCTAGGGAAGGCTCCACTAAAGGAGGAAGAAAGGAAGAGTGGAAGTAGACATTTTTGAGGAAAACAACAAGCAAATTAGAGGAAAAAGTTGTGTGTGTCTTGAGTATGAAGAAGCACTTGAGTGTGTGTATCTCAGTGTGTGTGCATAAAAGAATATGTGTAAGTATATGCATGTATATTTGTAAATACACCTATCTCTGTGTTGAGTATATGTGTGTGTGTATACACATGTATGTGTCTGTGTGTATATGTGTGTGTGTGAATGTGTGCATATCTTTTTCTATATACATATTGACATAGATTTATGTACAGTAATAAGCATGAGTACATGTCTGGTTATGTATTTATATGTAAACATGTATTGGTTATATATGTATATATATGTACATGCTTGCACATATACATATGTCTGGATAGATATATATAAACATGTGTATGAGCATACACCTGAGTGAATGTGTATGTGTCCATGTGCATGTTTATATACATGTGTATGTATATCAGGTGTACATATGTTTGAGAAGAAGACAATTTCTCTTCTCCTTAACCTTAGTGAAGGGGAAGAATTACTAGGATACAGGAAGAAGATTACATGTGTATATATGTGTTAGAATGTATATACTAACATGGAGGCATCTATTTATGTGAGTATAGGTTCATCCAAATCTTTTTGAGAGTCATATTTCTGCCTCCTGAGGACTCCAAGAAAGGAATAATTATCTTCTCTTTGTTTCCCACATTTCAATGGTTCTGACATAAAGGAGTAGGGCTGCTCCCCGACCCCCTGAGGGCCAGAACTGAGTTTCTTAGTTCTCCTCTGAACCCAGCCACCTGTCACGGGCCTGTGGGATGTTTTTCTCTCAGAGCCTTAAAGTTCTGATCTTTCAAACATGGTTGTTGAGAGAAATGACATGAAGTGATTTTTGCATTTTCTCGGCATTGCTCAGTGCTTGGCCCCTTCTTCCCCTTCTTTCCTAGGATTAAGCAGAAAAGAACTTGTCTTCTCCTGAAAACCATTCTTAAATCAGAAGCCGAGGAATTTGCTGTCAGAAGAGTACTTGCAAGTGGTCTGATACACCGTTTGATGTTATCAAAGAAGTTCGACAGCAAAGACCAGCTTTGGTATGCAGGGGAAAGAAAAATGCTTTGATTATGAACTCTTGCACAATAAATGCGTGAAGATTTCAGTCCTGTTCCTTACGCCTCTCTTTTCCCTCCCATTTCACATCTCTTGGCTTTGTGTTTGCTCTGATGGAGTGAAGATAGGAATGACGGTGACCAATGACCGTCATGCTTTCGGGAAAAAGGCCCTAGATAATGATTACTGCAACCATCCCTGGTATCTGTCTGTATGCTGCTTTCTAAAGGGAAAATAGTTTCTAATACAGGTTGAACATCCCTAATTCAACAGTACAACATCTGAAATGCTTCAAAATTAGAAACTATTTGAGGCTGACAAGAAACCGTGAGTAGAAAATTCCATAGCAAAAACCTTATTTTCATGCACAAAATTATTAAAAATATTGTTTAAAATTACCTTTAAGCTATTGGTATGTATATATAAGATATAAACAAATTTTGTGTTTAGACTTAGGTCTTATCCCCAAGGCATCTTGTTATGAACAGATGAAAATCTCCTAAATTTTAAAACGTTTCTGGTCCCAAACATCTTTGGATAAGGGATAGTGAACCTATATATTTAGTTTCAACCTGTGGAGTAATCTCTCCAAGGGCAGGAGGACTAAACCCCTCTGAAAAGGATGAGAATGATCTTTCCAGAGGGACAGGGCAGGAAGTGTACCCACATCACACACACCCACCCACACCAACATATCTCCTTCCTCATTATGTATGCCCTTGATAACTCTTAGGGGTCCCGTTATGCCATGGTGCTGGACCGAGGAAAGTCCCCATCAGAGGTGGTCCTGGAACCCACACAGTTACTTGGCTTTATGTTGTATCAGTTCCTCCTGTGCCATAATTGACGCTGATGCTATTTATCTGGAGGGAATTGTGATCCCTGTGAGAATATGTGAAATGTTCAGTGCCATCCAGGACCAGAGGGAGTGTCACAGCAGGAGCTGTTTTCACACCCACCCCTCATTATTCTTTATAAGTCGTGCTTGGTGCTTTCAATATGCATCCTTTACCCATGAGGACTCTGGGTTTTTACAGAAAGAGAAGAGGGCTATGCTTGGGTGGGGGTGGTGGTGGAAGCTGCCATCATCCTGGTATGGTAGTTAGACACCTCTTAAGGGTAGAAGTGGCATGTCTCCTGCTTTGCTGAGAGTCAGTACTTCCCTCTCCCCATCCTCTGAGGGCATGCCATGATTTTGACATCAGTCCTGTTATGGCATCTTGAGCCAGGAGACTTGGCAAATTATGCAATCTCACTGAGCCTAGTATAAAAGCAGAGGTAAACTGTATTCACTAGCATCAAGCTAAGTAAAAGGGTATTATTTTGAGGGTTCTTTTAGTGTTTCTGTGACACACAAGTCCCTAGGCTGAATAGGTTGGGAAGGGACATTAAGGAGCTACATCAACAGGTAAACTGGGTAAGGTGGTACACACCTAGCTCTGGGGAAGCTGAGCCAGGAGGATCCTGAGCTTCAGAACAGCCCATGTTACATAGTGAGGTCCTGTCTCAGGAAAAAACAATTGTCAACAGACAGCTCCAGGATACGCAAGCAACACAGGCTATGGCAGGGTGCATGTTAAGACTATGAGGGCTGACAAAACTGTGATGTGCTGGGGGGGGCGGTGCTTGTTTGTTTTACCTGGATTGTCCCCAGAGGGCCAGCCAAAGGAACCTCAGTGGTTTTAGCATCTGATGGGGATCCTGCAGAGCCCTGGGGGTCTTCATTTCGAGTCTGATCTGGGGAAAGCCCATCACTGCTGCTGTCCTCTTCAAAGGCGAATGCATCTGTTGCTTTGGAGAAACTCACCTGGGTACCTGAGTGAGAGAAAACCAAGATGGTATCAACAGTTTAGAGCATCAGAAAGCTGTTTCGGAAATGCTTCTAAACATCCTCCTAGGAAGATGCGCATATCTCCTCTTTCAGTGTAGCACAAGTTCAGGGAGGAGAGAAGATGCGTTTTATATGACTAGGCTTTCTATATGAGAACTTGTGTTTGTAAAAGTAGTCCGTCGGCAGGGAAGAATCGCCGACGTAGTAAAATTGGTCACCATGTGCTAAACTTTATTTTCAGGTTGAATCATTTCTCCACATTTCCTTTTGAAAATAAATCGGAGTGGGTAAAGGAAAGTAAAGGGGCTAGTGCACCGTGACGATGAACAGGGATTCAAGAGAATGATGCCTCTCTCCTTTAGGATTTTGGGAGGGAGGGAATTGAGATGACAGCACACCAATTACCTCATCTTCAAACATAAAGAAGGGCACAGGGCGCAACATATTTAGCAAACTTTGTTAATAAGGAAAAAGTGAGGCCAGCTACTGTTTAAATTCCTAGATGTCAGATTTAGCTAATGTCACTGGAGTGGCCCAAAGAGCCCTCAACCAAAGCATCACTAATTAGAAAACCCAAAAATGTATTTCAGAAACTTCAGTCTGACTCCCATTTTCTCGTTATTTGGATTTTCTTTTCATTCCTCATATTTGAGTGTCTACTTTGCAAGTTCTCATTCCCCCTACCCCCTCTGGTCCCAGGCTCTTCCTCCGTCCCCTGTGTGGGCTTTCTAGGGCAGCAGAGAAGATGTGCTGGGAGAGAGGTTATCACATCAGATGGCGTATTAATGACCAGCTGGTACGTCCCTTACATTTTATATCACCTGCCTTCCTCCAGCTTATTGTCCAGCTATACCATACACAATGTGACAAAGCCATGGAGTTCTTCTGACCCAATTCCAAGCACTGCTCTTCCAAAGGAATTTCAGTATTATCAGGAGCTTTTCCAGCTCCCATTCTGCAATCACACTTACAAGAACTTTTGACTCTTGCTTGGTGCCGATAAGAGAAAGAAGCTCTCACCGCTGAGATTAGAAAGGCAGAGAGGCGCTGGAAGGAATGGAACAAATGTGACTTGGGCCTTGTCATCACCACCACCGCTGGCATCTGTCACAGACCCTTGTGCAGACATCCAAGTGTCAACTCAGGAAAGAGGCCAGGCAAGGACAGGACAAGTGGAAACTCCAGTGACTGGTCCAATGGGAAGCCCACTAACCCAAAGGGACTTAGCCACGAGGACATCTATCTGCTCCATAGGTTGTGTATAAAAGTTATTTTTGCTTTGTTGTAATTATCAAAGAGGAAGTCTTGGGATCAAAATTCATGCTGTATTAAAATATCTGATGTGCATAATCAATCTGTGTTAAAATTTTGTTGTTTCTTTTAGATTTAACTATGAACACAGAAATATATGTACAAAGATATTTAAGAGATGTTTTATAAGGCTAGGACAAGATAAAAAATGATACTCAAAGGCTGGGTGTAGCTCAGAAATAGTGTGCTTGCCATGCATTCCGTCTTCAAATAATATTTTATACATATATACACACACTGTTCTGAAACTTGTTCTCCATCCCACTCTACAGTATTTTTTAGATTTATCTTCCCATGTGAAAACATAGAGACCTTTTTCACTTAAAAAGGTAGTTGTATATGCTGGGCATGGTGGCACAGAGGCAGGTGAATCTGAGATCGAGGCCAGCCTGGTCTACATAGTGAGTTCCAAACCAGGTGGGACTACAGGGAGACCCTGTCTCAAACAAACAAACAAACAAACAAACAGAAAAGAAAAGAACAGCTGTATACTATGAATACTATTCCACCTATCAGTGGGCACACTTTTAAAATTTATCCGTGTGTGTGTGTGTGTGTGTGTGTGTGTGTGTAAAACTGGAGATTGAACCTAGGGTCCATACATGCTATGGAAACATTCTACACAGAACTATATCTCCTGTCCATCCTTATACTTTTTAAAGTACCAAAATATGAAATATAGAAATAGTGCAGAGAATTATAGAGATCATTTATTTACCTAGAACCTGAAGTAAATGTGTTTTTTCATGATTGCGCTAGTGATCTGTTTACTCCAAGCTCGCACTGGCTAGTTGACAAATGCCAGCTTTCTCACAGGGACGAGGTGTCCCTCTTCTTCCTCTTTAGTACCCCTTTCCTCACTCTCTACTTGAGGAGCCTGGAGTTAAACAAATCTCCTTAGCAAAACCCAAGCCCTTCACATTGCCTTGGCACACCATTGCCTTGCAATCTGAGTGACTCCATGCACCAGTTTCCCTTTTTCAGGGGAATCATCTGCCCGAGATCACCCAAGGAAGGTCCTAATTGCTTCCATGACTGTATGGATATATTGCCAACTCAACCCACTTAAAAATTTTTATAAACTATGTTTTCACTAGAATTTTAGTCCCAGTTTATACATGTAATTAAACACTTTGTGCCTGTTGAAAAGTTTACAAGTGTCACTGCAGACCAGGTAGGTGGGAGGGTAGGTGGGTAAGTGTTTTCTGTTGCTGCCTGACAGATCACAGCATTTCATGGAGGTCTGCTTCACTCATGCCCTGAGCCAATGGAGCTCAGTAGCTCCGAGAATCCTGCATGGGACCTTATCAGCCCCTCAGGAGCACCATCCCCTCCTCCCACCAGGACACTCAGAGGTTCATTGTTTTATGTCCCATCCCTCTTCCCTCACTCTCAAGAGATAGGTCTTCTCTGTGTGGTCCTATGTTTCAGGTGACAAAGATTTCTTTTTTCCTAACTCCCTTAGAACATTGCATCCCATATGTGCAAAAAACTGCCCACATTCTACCACGTGAGTAGAAATGTTAGAAAAAGAGGGAAGAAAGAGAGAGAATGGTTTCTCCTCTTATTTCCTGATAACCCTCTGATTATTTCAAGAAGAAGAGAACAAAGAGGAAGAAGAGGAGGAAGAAGAGGAGGAGAGAAGGAAGGAGGGAGGGAGGGAGGGAGGGAGGGAGGGAGAGCGAGAGAGAGAGAGAGAGAGAGAGAGAGAGAGAGAGAGAGAGGAGTTTGTTTGCTAGTGGCAGAATAACCACACAGATTTGTCAGGCCTCATCAGGATGCAGGGCAGGGCACATTTTCTCCATCCTGTTTTGCTGATGAAGACATTGCAAGATCCATTTTACATAGCTACTTAGGGACTGAACTGAGACTGAAGTCCCAGCCTTGGAACTCTCAAGTCACGTTATAGAAGAAGATGGCAAAATCAGTTACTATCCCTGCAAGCCATAATGCCATGACTGGAGTCATCTGTTATTTGTCAACCTGCATTGATTGGAAGGAAGGGAAGAACAGAAAATGACTGGTATCTGTACATGCTACATACTGAGGATAACTATATAGCTCCACAAAAATTTTTGACCTGATTTTTTGGATCTGAGGGGTTTATTTGCGAACCCCAAAGAAGGTAGGAGATTCTGAGATCATGATGTATTTTTATTGAATTTGCCTCAGGAAAGAGTTGGGAAGACCAGGGGAAAGCCCAGTAATTGCCCTTGCAAATTGATATGCCCCTTTCACACTGAAAGCTGGAAAATGGTGACCTCAGGTCGAGATACTAGAATGATATACAAGAGTCTGGAAGTAGAATATTTGGAACAAAGGCGTAGATGGTTTCAGCTTGCCAGTCTGCATCCCTGGATTCAACGGTGACTGAAATATTCAGGAAAACATTGCATCTGTTCTGAACATAGACTTTTTCTTGTTGTTACTCCTTGAGCAGTAAGTCTAACAACTTTTTATATAGTATTACATGTAGTTAAGTATGATTAACCTAGAAATAATTGAAATGTAAGGGAACAAGTGTATAGGTCATAAGCAAAGAGGATTTCATTTTACAAGAGGGATCCTGAAGTGTCCTGAATTGGAGTGCTCATGAGGGGTCCTGGAACTAATCTGCAGCTGACACTGAGGAACAACTTTCTGTGGTCAGTTTTGTTTTTTCCAGGGCTGAAGGGAGCATTCTTCAATTATTTCATTCACTTCCACTCTTCACACTTTAAGAGGAGGCGAGGTAAGCTGAAGCACAATCAGATAAGATATGACAGAGAAGAGATCCCAAGCCAGGAGAAAAAGGCTATCTGTGTATCTCCATGGGATAATTGGAGAGTCTGTCAAGAAACTGTTGCCTGGTGAGTGTTGGTGGCAAAGGAGATAGCAATGCAAAGCTGTCTAAGAAGTTTCCTGGAAGAGGCGGGACTGAGCAGAGCCTGAAATGACGGGCAGCTATGAACAGGACAACAGGAGGCGGGCATTTGATGAAGACCGGGAGAGGAAGAGAAACTAGAGAGTGTCCACAAGCAGAGTTGGGGTGGGGATGTTAAAGAAGAAAGTCTCCCAGACAGGGGAGAGAATTATTTTATGAACCAATTCCTGCAAAGACGTAACTTAGGAGACTGCTTCAACTAAGCCTGTCAATCATTTAGCGGTTCCTTGTTTCAGCCAATGCAACTAGGAAGTCATGAGAACATGCAATGAAAAACAAAGAGGTTGTTTACATCCACACAAAGAAACAGCGTGTGTGCCAAGGTCCTAGATACGACTATCTAGTTTCCAAAAGGCTTGATGTTCCAGGTCAGATTCTGCCAACAGGTGCATCTGAGAACCTCTCAGGGCTGTCCCATCATGTGGGCTCTGCTAGTCACCATAAATCCAAGGTTACAAGTGGTTTGGATTTGCCACTGCCAGGGCAGAAAAGGAGGGACAGGGGAGAGAGCCCACATGCAGCTACACCTACTCAGTTCCTGTTGGTAACGAGAGTGAAAGAGCTCCTCAGATCTGATGCTGCTGGCTTCCTTTGACATGATGTGTAGTGTTCAGTGTGGTCCATAAGGATTTGGGTCCTGACATCAGCCACAGTTAAGGTATCTTAGAAAATCAGGCCTCTTCATCTTTGCTGTGATAATGCACTTATTTTTATTAAATCACACTTCTTTAGTGGTTTTTGGTATTTTGA